CCTAGAGACGGTCCAGGCCTCCCACTTCACACACGTGTGGTAGTGGCAGTGGATCTACGTCCCCTAGAGACGGTTCAGGCCTCCCCATTCACAAAAGCGAGGTAGTGGTAATGTATCTACGTCCCTTAGAGATGGTCCAGGCCTCCCCTTCACACACGCGAGGGTAGTGGCAGTGTATCTACGTCATGTAGAGACGGTCCAGGCCTCTCACTTCACACACGCGGGGTAGTGTCAATAGATCTACGTCCCCTAGAGACGGTCCAGGCCTCCCACTTCACACACGTGGGGTAGTGGCAGTGGATCTACGTCCACTAGAGACGGTTCAGGCCTCCCCATTCACACACGCGAGGTAGTGGTAGTGTATCTACGTCCCTTAGAGATGGTCCAGCCCTCCCCTTCACACACGCGAGGGTAGTGGCAGTGTATCTACGTCATGTAGAGACGGTCCAGGCCTNCCGCCCCGTCCCCGCTCCCTCGCCCCGCCTCCCGCCCCCCGTCCCTGCCCCGCTCCCGCCCAGCTGCTCTCCTTACCTATGTAGGTGTATCCTTGGGGGTCGCAGTGACTGACGCATGCAGCAGGGGTCAGGCTGTCTCTCATGTACAGACGTGACGACATGTCTCTGAGTCTCGTGCCGTTGTCTAGGTCGATGAGAGTCGTGAAACAACCAACGTATTCTATCCTCGTCGCATAGCCTGCAACATGACGGTGAGAATAAAGCTGGGATTACACTGCCAACTTTGTGTTGGCGAATTGGCGAATTGTACCAAATCGTCAACTTCGCAATTGACAATCGAACGCAAAAGTTGCGCGTCCAACTGATCGATAGCAACTAGTTGAGAGATGAGAACATGTTCAACAGCTCCTTATGTGCACGCGAGCATGCGTGTACATACACGCGGGCGTGTACCGTCCGCCTGCGTACAGCAGGTGCACGTAACTGTAGCTGCCATGCACAGATGCACATGACCGCACACGTGTATGTGTACGAACGCGTGTACGGGCGCGCGCGCGTGTATGCGCACGCACGCGTGTATGTGCGCGCGCGCGTGTATGTGCACGTACGAGTGTATGTGCGTGCATGCGGTTACGTGCGCGCATTCGTGTACGTGCGCGCACGCGTGTACGTGCACACATGCATGTATGCATGTGCGGACGCGCACGCGTGTACGTGNCGACACACACACACACACACACACACACACACACACACACACACACACACACAATATATATATATATATATATAATATATATATATATATACGCTTAATTATTATGATAATAAACATATAATAAATACACTATAACATAACGTTTATAATGAATTGTAATAAACCGTCTACTCGCGAGTTTTCAATCATCAAAAACACACACAAAACGCGCTACTCCTACATATAGACATTCGCACCTACACTTACCTAGCGTCCACGCCGCCGCCGCCGCCGCTACCAAGCAGACGATGTTAAGACGGCACCACATACCTCTAGGGGCGCGGAGGTAGAGAGGGATGGAGGGAGCGAGAGCGCGTGAGTTAGTGACGGAGAGAGAGTCAGGCACAGAGACTGCTACTACGACTACTGCTACTGCTACTGCTGCTGCTGCTGCTACTGCTACTACTAGCGCATTTCTACCAACATCTGCGCATGTGAAGTGACGTCACTGGTCGCCTGGTGATAGATACCACGTCGTGGGGCGCTGAAACGGGGAGAGGTTAGGATCCGTGTGCGAGGCGAGGCGACGCGAGGCATTTATCTTTCTCGCTCTCTCTCTTTTTCTTTCTCTCTCTCTTTCTCTCTCTCTCTCGCTCTCTCTCTCTCTTTCTCCCTCTCTCTCTCTGTCTCTGGTCCCTAGAGACGGTCCAGGCCTCCCCTTCACACACGCGAGGTAGTGGCAGTGGATCTACGTCCCATAGAGACGGTTCAGGCCTCCCCATGCACACACGCGAGGTAGTGGTAGTGTATCTACGTCCCTTAGAGATAGTCCATGCCTCCCCTTCACACCCGCGAGGTAGTGGCAGTGTATCTACGTCCCATCGAGACGGTCCAGGCCTCCCACTTTACACACGTGGGGGTAGTGGCAGTGGATTAACGTCTTCTAGAGACGGTCCAGGCCTCCCCTTCACACACGCGGGGTAGTGGCAGTGTATCTATGTCTCCTAGAGACGGGCCAGACCTCCCCCTTCACACACGCGAGGTAGTGGCTGTGTATCTACGTCCGCTAGAGACGGTACATGCCTCCCCTTTACTCAGCCAGGGTAATGGCAGTAGATCTACGTTTCCTAGAGACGGTCAAGGCCTCTCCTTCACACACGCGGAGTAGTGGTAGTGTATCTGCGTCCCACAGAGACGGTCCAGGCATTCCACTTTATACACGCGGGGTAGTGGCAGTAGATTTATGTCCTGTAGAGACGGTCCAGGCCTCTCCTTCACACATCAAGGTAGTGGCGGTGGATCTACGTCCCCTAGAGACGGTCCAGACATCCCACCTCACACGGGCGGGGTAGTGGCAGTTGATCTATGTCCTGTAGAGAGGGTCCAGGACTCCCACTTCACACACGCGAGGTAGTGACAGTGTATCCACGTTCCCTAGAGACGGTCCAGGCCTTCCTTTCACACACGCAAGGTAGTGGCAGTATATCTACGTCCCCTAGAGACGGTCCAGGCCTCCCACTTCACACACGCGGGGTAGTGGCAGTAGATTTATGTCCTGTAGAGACGGTCCAGGCCTCCCTTTTACACACACGGGTAGTGGCAGTATATCTACGTCCCCTAGAGACGGTCCAGGCCTCCCACTTCACACACGCGGGGTAGTGGAAGTGTATCTATGTCCTGTAGAGACGGTCCAGGCGTCCCCCTTCACACACGCGAGGCAGTGACAGTGCATCTATCTACGTCCCCTAGAGACGGTCCAGGCCTTCCCTTCCCAGACGCGAGGTAGTGGCAGTGGATCTACGTCCCCTAGAGCCGGTCCAGGCCCCACCTTCACACAGGCGAGATAGTGGCAGTGTATCTACGTCCCCTAGAGACGCTCCAGTCCTCCCACTTCACACACGCGGGGTAGTGGCAGTGGATCTATGTCATGTAGAGACGGTCCAAGCCTCCCCTTCACACAAGCGGTGTAGTGGCAGTGTAGCTACGTCCCCTAGAGACGGTCCAGGCCTTTCCTTCACACACGCGGGGAGTGGCAGTGTATCTACGTGCCCTAGAGACGATCCCGGCCTCCCCTTTACACACGCGAGGTAGTGGCAGTAGATCTACGTCCCCTAGAGACGGCCCAGCCCCCCTTCACACAGGCGAGGTAGTGGGCGTGTATCTACGTCCCCTAGAGACGGTCCAGGCCTTCCACTTCACACACGCGGTGTAGTGGAAGTGGATCTATGTCCTGTAGAGACGGTCCAGTCCTCCCCTTCACACACACGGGGTAGTGGCAGTGTATCTATGTCTCCTAGGGACGGGCCAGACCTCCCCTTCACACACGCGAGGTAGTGGCTGTGTATCTACGTCCGCTAGAGACGGTACAGGCCTCCCCTTTACACAGCCAGGGTAATGGCAGTAGATCTACGTCTCCTAGAGACGGCCCAGGCCTCTCCTTCACACACGCGGAGTAGTGGTAGTGTATCTGCGTCCCACAGAGACGGTCCAGTCATTCCACTTCATACACGCGAAGGTAGTGGCAGTGTATCTACGTCTTCTAGAGACGGTCCAGGCCTCTCCTTCACACACGTGGGGTAGTGGCAGTGTATCTGCGTCCCATAGAGACGGTCCAGGCCTCCCCTTCACACACGCGGGGTAGTGGCAGTAGATCTACGTCCCCTAAAGACGGTCCAGGCCTCTCCTTCACACACCCGGGGTAGTGGCAGTGTATCTACGTCCCCCTGAGATGGTCCAGGCTTCTCATTCACACACGCGGGGTAGTGGCAGTGTATCTACGTCCCCTAGAGACGGTCCAAGCCTTCCCTTCACACACGCGGGGTAGTGGCAGTGTATATACGTCCCCTAGAAACGGTCAAGGCGTCCCCCTTCACACACGCGAGGTAGTGGCAGTGTATCTACGTCCCCTAGAGACGGTCCAGGTTCCCCTTCACACACGCGAGGTAGTGGCAGTGTATCTACGTCCCCTAGAGACGGTCCTGGCCTCCCTTTTACACACGCGGGTAGTGGCAGTATATCTACGTCCCCTAGAGACGGTCCAGGCCTCCCACTTTACACACGCTAGGTAGTGGAAGTGTATCTACGTCTCCTAGTGACGGTCCAGGTCTCCCACTTCACACACACCGGGTAGTGGAAGTGTATCTTTGTTCTGTAGAGACGGTCTAGGCCTCCGCTTCACACACGCGGGGTAGTGTCAGTATATCTACGTCCCCTAGAGACGGCCCAGGCCTGCACTTCACACACGCGAGATAGTGACAGTGTATCTACGTCCCCTAGAGACGGTCCAGGCCTTCCTTTCACACACGCAAGGTAGTGGCAGTGTATCTACGTCCCCTAGAGACGGTCCAGGCCTCCGCTTCACACACGCGGGGTAGTGTCAGTATATCTACGCCCCCTAGAAACGGTTCAGGCCTCCCCTTCACACACGCGAGGTAGTGACAGTGTATCTACGTCCCCTAGAGACGGTCCAAGCGTTCCTCTCACACACACAAGGTAGTGGCAGTATATCTACGTCCCCTAGAAACGGTCCAGGCCTCCCACTTCACACACGCGGGGTAGTAGCAGTAGATCTATGTCCTGTAGAGACGGTCCAGGCCTCCGTTTTACACACGCGGGTAGTGGCAGTATATCTACGTCCCCTAGAGACGGTCCAGGCCTCCCACTTCACACACGCTAGGTAGTGAAAGTGTATCTACGTCGCCTAGAGACGGTCCAGGCCTCCCATCTTCACACACGCGGGCTAGTAGAACTGTATCTATGTCCTGTAGAGATTGTCCAGGCCTCCCACTTTACACACGCGGTGTAGTGGCAGTGTATCTACGTCCCCTTGAGACAGTCCAGGCCTCTCCTTCACATACGCGGGGAGTGGCAGTGTATCTACGTCCACTAGAGACGGTCCAGGCCTCCCCTTCACACACGCTATGTAGTGAAAGTGTATCTACGTCCCCTAGAGACGGTCCAGGCCTCCCCTTCACACACGCGGTGTAGTGGCAGTAGATCTACGTCCCCTAAAGACGGTCCAGGCCTCCCTTTCACACACGCGGGGTAGTGGTAGTGTATCTGAGTCCTATAGAGACGGTCTAGGCCTCCCATTTCATACACGCGAAGGTAGTGGCAGTGTATTTACGTCCTCTAGAGACGGTCCATGCCTCTCCTTCACACACGCGGGGTAGTGGAAGTGTATCTACGTCCCCTAGAGACGGTCTAGGCCTTCCCCTTCACACACGCGGGGTAGTGGCAGTGTATCTACGTCCCGTTTGAGACGGTCCAGGCCTCTCCTTCACACACGCGAGGGTAGTGGCAGCGTATCTACGTCCCCTTGAAATGGTCCAGGCTTCTTCTTCACACACGCGGGGTAGTGGCAGTGTATCTACGTCCCCTAGAGACGGTCCAGGCCTCCCCCTCACACACACGCGGGGTAG